ACACCATTTGAATTTACCCTTGAAATATTTCTTCCAAATTTGGATATGAAATGACGTTAAGTAAAAAAGTTATGACAGTAGTCCACGAACTTTCCGAAAACCCTCGTATATATATATATATATATATACATATAATACTAATGAAACTATAAACGCGGTCTTTTAAACCATAAATGTAAAAAATCAATATCAATCATATAGGATTAAAAGGATATGTAAATAAAGCACTCTGTTCGTCGTAAAATCCGATGTAAGAAGCGGGGATTTATTTTTGTATGACCCTCGTTTATTGTACACTTTTATTAAGTTCCATGGATCGGATTAATAATTTAACATTCAGTACACTAAGTTAGCCTATCAATGTGGTATAAATGTGTGAAGTTATGAGAATACTTGACAGCAAAGATTCAAAGACACACATTGGATAATTAATTGATATTTTAAAAAATATTTTTGGAGTCTTACATGTAAGTATATTATTACAATTATTGCTAATTAAATCAATTGTAGACATATAAAACTGTCCTTTAAAATATTGGATACTGCAGTAGTTCTTCGAATTTAGTTCAAATTTAAATGTAAAATCTTTAAGAAAACTCTGTGGATTTATATTTCAAATATTTGTTCTCCTTAACTGTTCTCCTAGGGCTCTTCATGCATTAATTTTTTTTTTTTTTTTTTTTTTTTACAAATATTTTATTATTTATTTGCCCTTCTTTCTATCCTATGAAGAAATGAAATTGTAAAATGTGTATGTAAATGTATTTATGATACATTTACGTCTAACGATTTGAGATATGTCTAAACATTAGCGTTAATTTATTTTTATGAAATGAATATTTTCAACGATGCTGTCAATACAACTTGTTTTTTCTTTTACAAATAACATCTTCAAGAATCTGCAACAGGTTTCGCCGATAAACATGTACATGTACGTAAATATCTAAGTTTCGAGCAGACCCTTATGAACCACAAATTAATAATAATAAAACATGTAATAATAAAATAGGAAATGACTCTGGGGCACACACATCCTACGTTCCTCCTCTATTTATAACGAACTCAAATAAAATCAAGTGATCCGATTTACAGCTAATTAAAATTCGCAACACCAAAGTGCATATTAGTTATGTTATTAATCGTTTTAAGTAATCGGGCCCTAGTATGCCGATGTAACAAACGATGAATTCGTGGTTTCCGCTTGATCTTTTGACATTCATTGAACTAGATAGGACTACTTCCCAAAATCTTTGGAATCATAGGAATGTAAAATTTACATGTATTCAAAAATATGAATGTAGAAATATTCACCTCTGTAATTATATACAAAGATGTTTTTTAATGTAAAAGTTTATATATTCATTGTTCTCTACTTCATCAGATTAATGAATCCAATAGCACCTAAACACCAAGCATTAAATTTCATGTTTTAGAGCAGTTGCGTACTTTTCAAAACACATATTTTGCGAAGAAATCGATAGAACTTCACATAACTTCACATAAATGAATTTCTCTTATTTCGAATAATAAAAGTTTTGCAATTTGCAAAGTAGAAAAGAATGATGTGGTAATGATGACTAATACGACTTTTGAATGTTGCATTTAAAACTAATTTTCACCATCTAAATACAAGTCTAAATTGAAAGACTTTTAAATTTTAATATAACAAATCCATTTTAGGTCTATTTTTTTTTTAAATTCAGGAGATTTTTACAAATGGGAAAATAGCTATAAATGTAAATTAGACATAGGAAATAAAGGGTATTAAATCTTCAAAATATGTACAATTAAGCAGAAAATGGATTTTCAATGTAAAAATCACTGAAGGGAGATAAACATGCTAGCAACGGCTCTCTGATTACTGAAGCAGCGTTCTAAACCACTTATCACGAGAAAAATGTCAATTAATATATTGCACTTTTACTAGTATAGTTGCATTTATAACGTACTGAAAAGGTGGTGAATTTATAGTCCTTATCATTAAAAGAAATATACATTCTTTTTAATATGTAATGAACGTTAATTTCGCTCCTGTCCAATTCAGAAAAAACGGAGGCAGTTACAAAAAAATTAACTCTTCTCCGAATTTTTATTTCTATTTTTTTCCCGTAACATTTTAAACTATTAAATGGTTGTGACACTACCCGGCCCTGAGATGTAAAGAGGATAATACAGGTTAATGTCCACGTATCCGTGGTAAGGTGTAATTATCTTGTTAACCATCGATTGCTTAAACAAAAAGGGAAGTGCTACAAGAAAACAGGAGTGTCGCTCTGATCGAGATCAAATCAAATATTGATTAAATTTCCCAAGTCCCAGTAAGTAAACTGACTTTTTTAGTTTGTGGAAAGGAATGTTGTATAGTTAAGGATGGTAAGTACATTAGAATTTCAATGTTTGAGAATTGATCTCTTATACAGACAGAAATGTAGAATTAGTAAAAGACTTTCTGGGCCATGTGGAAGGGAAATTCTGGAAAAATGGCTGATATTCTAAGCAAATTTAGCAGCTTCTTCAATCGTGTCTATCATAACATTTTGACTAGTACTAGTATTAGATTATATTGTGCATTCCTATTGTACATGTATTTCGTATTGCTAAAACTTACGCTGATCTGAAGTAAAAATAATTTATATAGGAACAATGATTAGATGGGATTGTGTGTTTGTACTTCACAGGAAGAAAAAGAAAAGAAAAATGCTCATATAATTTACTGAAATATTATTTATATTTCACCATTATGAAGATTGCACATAGAGAAAAAACCTCAGATACCAGAATTAACAATGCATCTAGAGATGTGCAAAAAACCTTTCTTATGTCTAAATATGTAAATGTAAGTTGACTTTGTGTAATTTCTATGATAGCAAAACAAAGGGGCAAAAGCTTTATACATGGATGTCAAGGGTAAAGGTGCTGATTTCAAAAATTAATTGAATCTTTTTCATAGGTACTGGCTTTCAACTAAAAAAATGATAACTTTTCCTTTATATTTTTTTTCATCTCTAATTTTTCAGTGTTCTTAGTTGTTCATCAAATGAGGCTTAATTTTAAAACGATACCCTCTTCATATTTAGCCTTTATGTTTTATTTAACAGCATAATCTTGTATATTTGAAATTAAGTGATAATTTCAAAGGTAAAGGTTGTGATAAAAATTTCAGGATCTATTTCGAAGTAAATCAAATAAAGAACCAACATTCTGAGAGTATTACATAAGGAATACTATTTCCCCTAGTGAAAGTACACGTGTAATCTGGTTCCCCTTAAAATTAAAAATGATGTAATTCCAGCAAAAATCATGAAAAACTTAAGAAAACCAGTTAGGAAATCAGGTTTCCCTTTAGAAAATTAAGAAGGCCATAATTCCGTCAAATACATGCATCATCAAGCGGAACGAAGTGTAAACTTGATCTGTAACTAATGAAGGTCAGGCCCGTAGAACGTGTGGGGGGGGGGGGGGGTTCGCCCTCAGTTTTACTTTTTCTGAGTATATTATTTTGCTGTAGTAAATGTTCCTTTAGATGCTAGAGCCCCTACCCTCCCCCCCAACACACACACACACTTTTTGTTGCTGTAAGGTCGAGCACTGGCAAATTCCAGGATTTGGACCGTAAATTAGTTTTTTTTTTGTGCTTGTCAGATTTTTTTTGGAGGAAGTTGGTCCCCCACTTTTGAAACCGTTGCTACGGGCCTGAAGGGACACTGACTCACATACCAAAAATCAGTTCAATATCTGTTAGCATTTTTTCAAAAAAGTGCGGAAAACTAAGTAGGACAGACTGACACACAGACGGAGGGACAGAGGGACGGACGAGGAAGAAACCTATAGTTCCTCCGGTTTTACCGGTCGTGGACCAATTAAAAGCCCTTATAGATTCCAATAACAATTAGATATTATCTGCGGAGTCAGACGCTTATTCAACAAACAGAAAAGAAAATTCCAACCGAGCTCCAGATCTAAACTTCACTCAGTCACGATACAAAAATCTAATGTTTTTTTCTTGAAATGGAAACATAAAGACAAAATGACGTTTTACTTGGTAATCAAACGAAACATAACACTACCAAAATAAATAATTCAATGTAATTCATTCCCAGATGATCAGGCATGGGGTATTCTGAAGACATTTCTCTAGTTAAAACTGAATTTCTCATCTCAAATTAATGTACCTCGGGTAGTTCCTCTTGATCAAAGGCTTTCACAGGGAAATGAGGAAAAAGATTTATGAAACCAACTAAGCCTTTTTGCAGATGTTTTATGTAAATTATCGTAATTTTGACAGACAAGTAAATATTGGAGTTTCGTCTGCAATGTTAGGAATTATCTTTAATTATCACCGACGACTTAATTGGTCATGATTACCACCCTCAAGTCTATTTAACATTTGTTTTCGTTTTAATTTCCGGGTGTGGATGAATTTCAATACCAGAGGGGGTGAACTCTATTTCAAGTGTTCTACAAGTGATGATGTAAGCCATTTTGTTGCCATGCCCTCATTTGTATCTCCCTCCCTTCACTTATTCTCTCTTTCTAAGGGCGAGCGAACGAGTAGCGTTATTAGTACACCATTATGTCTCTTCATTATAGTAGTTTCGCCATAAATATTTATCAGAATCTCTAAATATTCAGGTACTGATTTTCTAAAAGATGATCTATAATCCTATTTAACAAAATAAATGGTTGTAAATGACTATTCAAATTTCAACACTGAAAAATCCAATGACACAAAAAGGACAAATACATATTTTTAAAAATACTCCTTTTACAAATTATAAAATTCCGCAATCAATGTATTTATTATTTTTTTAATTAAAAAAATGTATGTTTTTAATGATTAGAAAAGATCTTTGACATATTATTCAATTTACAATATATTGTCAAATGACAATAACACCTTATTACCTCAGGTTTGGAAGGAAAACAATTAAGAATTTTATCATTTGTGCTGATTTTTTTAAGTGTTAAAAAGTGACAGGTGCGTGTTTTTGTAGACATGATAAAGAATGCAAATACCCACGAGGGGACGGATGCAGGATAAGGAAAAAAAGGTGCAAGTGCCAAAGCGGAACAGAAAAATTCAATATGGTGACCACATTCCACGATCTGAATATACCGAGGGAGTCCGAAGGAATAATAACCGTTGTAGCAACAGGTTGTCAAAAGAAATGCAGTATTACGAGAAAGCACAGAAAGTGATAATGAAAAATCTTGGTAAGGAAACTCAGCAGCTTCACGCCCGAATGTCCTCGACTTTGGCCACTCCCCGTTTGGAAGAAATGGAAAGTCCAAGTCTACGCATGACCAATCCATTTGCAGTATATGGTTCTCCCGTAATTCCCTTCCTGAAAATGGATCATCCGAGACGCCAGCAACTTAAACCGATACCCTTCAGCAAACTACGAGATCCATTTCATACACCACGCACATCCCTTACGTCAAGCTCTATGAAAATGACGTTAGCAAACAATGACGACATGATTGATAAACGAAGTAAAGCTAGCTCTCAGTCCCCAACCAGAAGATTTGAATTATCTAGTCCTGTTAAAGTGACAAGTCCCTATAAAATTTTACTCTCAGATACTACATCTGAAAGCTTCGGGAGACTCATGCTGCGCAGTGACACAGATATGTCTTTTACTGAATTCGGAAGTACATCACACAAAGATGGCCGTCGTAGCATAGCAGAGAGCATGCGCGCAACAAGTAGACTGAATTCTGGTAGAAGCAGTCATGTTAGTTTCATAGATATTTTAAAAGAAGCCGAGGAAAGGAAAGCAAAAGAATCGATTTCTGTTATCAAAGAGGATGACATCAAACCTTTGTCGAGTTCAAAGATGCGTCCCAAAACCCCTGGTCCAATGTCGAACTATGACGACCCCAAATCAGGCAAGAAGACTGAAGAACTTATTCCTAAATCTACCCATCTGACCGCCACTCCAAAGGCAACTTTTGTTAACATCCCTTCTTGATTGTGCTGTTGAATTCTAGTTATTTCCTCAGTAGTTTAATGATTCCACATGAAACGAAGTGTTATTTTGTAAAACTACTCGCAATGCTTTCAATTGTTTTTATTACCAGGTATTTGCTGAATAAAGACACTAAATGCCATTAAAATTGTCATAAAAATGATTTCTTAGGGGATAAAAAACGAATAGAGAAACAAAATCAACATCAAACAATACAAAACACAACCAAGAACAATGAAAACGCAATACACTCACCGAACAAAGATTGACATCTAGTTTTCAACAAATAAAATTACAAATGCCGTAGATACATTCATTACTATATAGTATATACTTACCGGTACTAGTCTGTCTCAAAATATTTTCATCGGACAAGGTATGGAAACGTCCGAATTTGATATGCATGTAACAAGCATTTTGAGAGTATTGCATAAGTAACACTATTCCTTTTCCGGCAAATGTAATGTGGTTCTCCTTAAAAACTAAAAAAGACCGTAATTCCAACAAAAATCATTGAAGTGTGACAAAATGCGAAGTTGATCTATAACTCATGAAGGTAGTCGACTCACGTACCAAAAGTTAGCTGAATGTGAAAGTGTTTAGGAGCAAAGTGCAGAATGCCAAGTGGGACAGACAGACAGACGAGAAGGAAACCTATGGTTCTCTCCAGTTTTAAAGTATTGCATAAGTAATACTAGTTCCCCACCGGTAAGTGCAATCTGGTTCTTCACAAAAATTGAAAAGGCCACAATTCTGTCCAAAATCACCGAAGCAGAACAAAACGTAAAGCTGATCTTTAACTCATAAAGGTACACTCACATGCAAAAAAAATCAGTTCAAAATTTGCAAGTTTTAGAAAAAAAAGTGCAACTATATGTGTCATTGTGAGTCTACCTTGATGAGTTATATAGATCAAGTTTGCTTCAGTGATTTTTGACGGAATTAGGCCTTTTCAAATTTTTAGGGGAACCAGATTGCACTTTCCGGCAGGTAGTCCGAAATATTTAGTGTTTTCCGGGCGTTTTTCATTTTGATGTTTGAAGTGCCAGGAAAACGTCAGAACTAGCGCCATTATGAAAAGTGGAAATTCGCCACCCCAAACTGAACTCAATTTTCGATACTTGCCAATCGACGTATTAAATGTCAAACTCACAAACTTATCAATGACACTTTGCTTCTAGTTCTCACCATATCGCTCAAATGAAAATATCACTCCATATTTCGATTCAGTCTCACGAGATTTCAGAATGCACGAAATCAAAATAAACCTCGACAGTTTGATAAAAAAAATTTCACCAGATACTTTTTATTACAATGGAACAATAAAAGCGATATTGGTAAGTAATAGAAGCATAGAATTATTGACAAGATGTGAGGTAGACATTTAATTTGGTTCGCATATATCGAAAATCGACCCGAGAGACGCTGAATTTCTACTTTTCATAATGGCGTCGGTTCTGACGTTTTCTTGGCACGTCAAATATCAAAATAGTGAAAAAAAAGCCTGGAAAACTTCAGATATTTCGGACTAGCAGGCAGGGGACTAGTATTGCATGCTTATACAGTTCTCTAAGAATGCTTGTTTAAGAAGCAGTTACCTATGGTGTCAAAATTTCTGGTCTTTAATTTATCAAGAGAAATGGTTATAAAGTGTTGAAAAGTCGTATGTTTTGTTTTTGTTTTCAGATTATCCACATTTGATCAACACCAGTATATTTGTAAACTACTCCTGAATTTCCTCCTTCAATGCTGATAACATTTTAGTGAGAAGTGAAGATAGAGGATTGATAGAACATTTATTAAAACACAGGGGACGACACTTTATTAAGTCAATTTTCTTCTAATAGAAGACTTTCCTTACTGTTTTTAAAGGGTACGTCTTTCCTAAGGGGTCATTTTTCGTTACTTTTACATTGAAATTTAATGACTCTAAAAATCCAGAAGGGAGGGGGGTTCCGGACCCCCTCCCGACCACCCTCTATGAGTTGAGATCAATACATATTCATCATGACATTTGTCCGATTCTTTTGTAACTTCTGAATTTCTAAAGACAGAAGAATAGAATAATGGTGTCATATTGCCCAAGATGCGATAAAATAGAAATTTTGGATTTAAAAAAAAAAGAGATCTGTTTGTGAAACACTGATGCCTCCGTATGGCAGCTTATGGCCAATGTTTAAGTTTTCAAAAGTAAGTCAAACGGTACGGTTAAGGTCAAATGTCAAAATTAATGGTGCCTATGGGAAGGTCTTGTCACGAGAAATACATATGTGAAAAATAAAAGCCCTAGCTCCAACCGTTTAACAGTTATAGCCAAGGTTAAAGTTTGGAAAAATTTTGTAAAATAGGGTCACACTCCAAGGTCAAAACGTCAAAAATGTCGGTACCCAAAGAAAGGTCTTGTTACAAGGAATACACATGTGAAATATGAAAGCCATATCTCCTACCAATTAAAAGTTATGGGTAAGATTAACGTTTTTGCAGATACACAGATGAACAGAGAGACAGACGGACGAATCTTTGATTAAAAGTAACATCTTATTTGTGAAAGCGCGGTTGAATAAACAAATCTCCTCATATTGTGTAAGGCTCATATATGATATATTTTTCATTCATCTTTTATCTAAAATGAGGTAAGATATTCTTAACGACAACAACACACCAACAATCACTAAAAATACATATATTTGTCGATATTCTACTTTGTTACCTTGTGGTTGGATAATTTTGGCAAAAAAGGTCCAAAGATATGGCTCAAAGGTCTTTGACCTTTTCACATTCTGGTTTGTCTTTTTGGAAACTTGCTCTCCGTAAAAGCTAGGTCTTGAAACAGTTCATCAAAGACCAGGTATCGGCAAATGACTTAAACAATCACCTTTAGTTTATCATGGAAATAAATATTTAGTGTAAAAAATCACATTTGCGCAATTCTACTTTAGCATTTATGAACTATAGGTAGGAGAAACCATAATACTTGAATGCACTTGAGTGTTTAATGTACGATATACACACATGTACGACCGGTACACACAATATAAATAAACAAATTACGTTACACTTAAAATCTATATGCATATATACATATACTTCAAAATAATAAATATTCTATATAACGACATATATTTGATTTCAGGTAAAACATAATAGATATTGATGTATAATAATGAATAACACAATCGGAAAAAACAACAAATTATGCCATGTATCCGTCACGTTCGCATGCGAAACCTTCACGTTCACAACTCATTGCGTCAGCGACCTTTAATTGCATTATATACGGCAACGCAATACTGTAATAATTTTACTTACATCGTGGAATGGTTATCTTCCAAAATATTCGATTTTACTATATGTAATAAATATAAATGGCACATGTGATAAATATATGTGATGTAGAAAGCTTTATTCAAGCATTAACTTTGAGGTCTGCTTATAATAATGAAAGTTAAAATTTCAGAGTGCAACGAACGGCTTTCCGTAAAACCTTGCAGCATTACTTCATTACTTGGGTCACGTCCGTGCTTTAATCTTTCATATAAATACCCAATACCAAAATCATTATACATGTATAAAGTACACACAGTTTGTTTCTGCTAGTGTATACTTTTCTTTGACTGCGTGAAGGAATATTTTATATTGCAACTTTAATATTGTGGACATTTGCTACAATATTAAATTGATCACTTCCCTGAAAAATATTGAGATAGTTTATTAAAACATGATATCGAATCGGGCGCTTCTTACGAGTGTGTTTTCTGCAGTATTTTTACAAAATGAGATTCGTTTTATGTCCGTAAGTGCAGTGCATGTTAAAGAAGGCACTGAAAAAGCATCAAGTATCATTCGGAAATCAATCGGACTCAAGTCACCCAAAAATCTATGGTGGGCAAAACAAGTAACCCCCGAGTATTACGTGGCGGGAAGACTCAGCAGAAGACAAATACAGTATGCGTCGGAGGGGGGATTTAAAAGTGTCGTTTCTCTGTTTACGTATAAAGACAAGAAAAATTGTTGTTTGGGGGTGGATTATCTACCTTCAACAACCGAGATGGACTCCTACGCAAAGGAAGCTGGGCTTCATTTCCGAACAGTTTTATACTCTTCAAAAGTTTCTTCAGCTGTTCAGTCTGTATCAGATCTAGAGGAGTCTTTGAAGAACCTCCCGAAACCTGCTCTTCTCTTCTCGGATCGAGGGTATAGTATGACTTTCACATTGTTGATGTATTTACTGAAGTCGCAAATAAACACGGACTTCACTGTAGAAAACGCTGTTGCGGTGAGTGAACTACTAGGTATGGATTTCAGTTTAAAATGTACCAATAGAGTACTCTGTAATGTTACAGGGGAAAACATTGACTTTCCTAAATTAGACAGTTTACCTAAACAGTGGCTAAGCTATTGGCTAGCTACTCCCGTTTACAAAAACTGGTTCATAGCAGGACAAATCTTAGACTCTCACATCCCTCTAATAAAACAGGCAGGATTTAAATCAGTAGTGAATTTACGTGCCGGAACAACTCACAAGGGGAAGCCATCACAGGAAACTGTCACTCTGCTAAACATCAAGGACGGTTCCAGGACATACGGAGACGATACTCTGGGCCCGAGACAAAGTCTGGAAACATTGAGGCAGCAGATTATAGACCCTAGCAAAGATAATTCTTATGTGTCTCCCAATTCTTCTCAAAATTTCGCCACAACAAACCGAGCAGAATTTGGGGACCTCATTGGCTATAACGAAGAAATCGAGAAACTGTCCTTTCGCAAAGCAGGATTTCCGTATTACCATGTACCAGTAGGTCAGTACTAAACTATATTTATGTCGTTAATCTCATAAAAAAATAAAGTATTAGGTTAAATGTATTGATGTTGCTTTGAAAATTTTAGATAGCATTATAATTCATAACTTATTATCTGATCTTTTATATGTATTTCAGTGAACAGCGAGCCCTTTTCTGCAGAATTATTTTCCTTGTATCAACCCGAATTAATGGACTCTGTCAACAGAGGACCAGTTCTAATCCACTGTGCAAGTTCTAAGCGAGCCGGTAAGTTTTCTGATGAGTGATATACTTAGAACTGAAATGGACCCTTTATATAACATTCAGTATTACTATAGTTGATAATACAGGCCCGTAGAACGCAGAGGGGCCAGGGGACAGTCCCCTACTTTTTCTGAGTATAGTATTTTGCTTTAGATTTCCCTTTAGATTCCCACATATTTTTTTAGGAAGTTGACCTCCCCCCCTTGAAACCGTTAATTTTTTCTACTTTTATTATGAATTGAGAATAATGTTTTGGATATATTTATATATAATTTTTCCTTTGTTTTAGGATATATCGCCGTTTTAGCCGCTGCCGTGCAGCATCATCACGATCTGGCTTGGGCATTGTCCAAATTGTCACAACTGGGAATGGCCATTAGTCCTTCTAAAAAGCCGGATATATATGAGATGTATGTCAATGTACTGACCAAGAAAGGGAACAAAACACACTGCCATAGCAATAAATCTGGAAAGATTTGTACAGAATGTAACTGATTGGTATACAAAATAAAAGTAGGATTTTAACAAAAAATCAAGTGGCTCGTATGTAATTTCATTACATTCAACATCTGTCTACAGTCACTGAGGAGAATATTATGCTGCACTTTTTTTATGATACAGGATATGGCAGGATTTTATTGTGCAACACAGAGACAAAAATGTATTTTGCATGGTGTTCATTTTATCTGAAGCATGTACATCAGTTTCTTATTTTTGATCTCGGGTGATACGAATACTCAACTGATGTTTTTTGTATGTTTTTTTTACAACTCTGAATGTAAAATGAAATGATAAAAAAAGAAAATGTAAGTTTTACCGTTGTTTTCTGTATTTTTTGCATAGAAGTAAGGCATAGTAATAGATGCTTGGTTAATAATGTTTTATTCCAAAGCTTCTAATGGAAAAGGATGAAAGAACAAAAAAAAAATAATAATAAAGATAAAAAAAATAAGGAAATAACTGGAACGCAATACTTTTGCTATATAATGTCTTCAAGACCAAAGATTATAGAGCAAAGTTACCAAGGAAGAAGCAAACGTGGTCTCTACAATACTGATTACAAGTGATTAAATACATTTGATCGGTTGATTTACAGACAGAGCAAAACAGAAACAAGATGTGTGTTTGTGAAACACTGATGCCCTTGTATGGCAGCTTAAGGGCAAGGTTAAAGTTTTTTCAAATGTGGGTCAAACTTCAGGGTCAAGAGTTCAAAAATGTTGATGTCCCAAAAAGGTCTTGTGAAATATAATAGCCCTAATAAAAACTATTCAGAAAATATAGCTAAGGTTAAAGTTTTTTCAAAAAGTATGTCATACACCAAGGTCAATGTCAAGAGGACAGAAAAAATGGTTCCAAAGGAAGGGTCTTGCTAAAAGGAATGCAAAAGTGAAATATGAAAGTCCTAGCAGCAACCGTTCAAAAGTTATTGGCAAGGTTAAAGTTTTTATATATATATATATATATATATATATATATATATATATATATATATATATATATATATATGTGTCAATCCGCAAGGTGAAAGTCATGAGTAAAAAAAATTTTGGTACCAAAAAGAAAGGTCTTGTTACAAGAATTGTGCATGTAGTATATGAAAGTCCTAGCAACCACCGATAAAAAAGTTATGGCCATTGAATGTTAAAGTTTTTCAAAAGTAGTTCAAACCCAAAGGTCAAGATCGAAAGGTAAAAAATATTGGTATTCAATGAAAGATCTGGGCACATGGAATACAAATTTGAAATATACAAGCCCTAGCTCCAACCGTTCAAAAGTTTTGGCTAAGGTTAAAGTTTGGTATATTGTATTTCTGCAAAAGTTCAAATGGTCATGGTCAAGGGGTCAAATATGTTGGTATCCAAAAGAAAGGTCTTCTCACAAGGAATACATATGTGAATTATGAAAGCTCTAGCACCAGCCTTTCAAAAGTTATGGGCAAGGTTAAAGTTTTCGCAGACAAAAAGAGAAACAGATTAATAGAGACAGACGGACGGATAAATCAAAAACAGTATGTTCCCGAATCTTCGATTACGGGGCATAAAAATACATGCAAATTTCTTAATCAAATGGCATTTAACGTTTTCTACATTTATTATATAATACTAGTAGTTTAAAGAAAAATTGTGTTCATTTTCTAATTTGGAAAGAAAAAATTGGCATAAGAGGCCCAATCAAATCGGGCTCTGTAACTGAATGTGCATTTATAACAGTTTTGTGTCTTGGCAGACAAGAATATTACACCAATAAATCTGTACGTCTCTGTGCGTTAAGTAACCAGTGCTTAAATCTTAAACTTTTCATGGAAAGTTGAAGGAAGACAAAAAATATTAAATTTCATTTCCTTTACTTAAAACATTTTTCTTGAAATATTCGTCATGCAAGATTGATATGGTATGGCTTTATGGTTTGCACATTGTATGGTAAACTTCTGAAATGAAAACACAACAGAAAAATACAGAATTGAGCCTTGATTTTGAAGAGAAACTTTAGGGTGTAAATTATCCCAAGCTTAAAACTTACAGAAACATAATAGTAAATAATAGAGATGTTTTTATATCTGTAATACTTATCAGTTACAAAACAATTTAGATAAATACTAGTATTATATATCAGTAAAAATAGCTGTTTCTATTTCTAATTAACTCATTTCATATTGAAACAATAAATTGTATGCTTGCTGTGCATTTGCATATAACACTGTTCAATATTACATTCAGCCAACTTTACATATATATTTTAAAAGTCAAATCCAGGCAAACAATGTATGTTTTCCATTACAATTTGATACAATTTAAAAGGAAATACGGTAAAACAAGCAACTAACCTAACTCACGACTATTTTGGAGTTTGCTTTACAGTAGGCACAGCAGTTTTGGTTGTAGTAGGTGGTGAAACATTGACTCATCCAATAACCTGTCGTGTGAGTCTCGCAATCATTGACCGTGTCCACGCAGTCCTGTCTTCGAGCGTAAAATTTCGCAGATTTAATCAAGCGTTTTATCAGTGATTCAAGCTGCCCGTGGTCAGATTTCTTAATAGCTAAGAAAAGTAAATAATAAAGGTTGCATATCAATGAATAAAAATTACCCCATCTTTTGTCAGTTAGCTTTCAAATTAAAGTATATGTAATCGTGCATTAAATTGTATAATAAATTTATTCCTCTTAAAAGTTATTAATGGATTTAAAAGAATGCAAACCCAACTACCCTAAAATATTTTTGGTCCAATCGCGTCTTCTCGGGCCTTTCCGACAAGCTCGGAAAACCATCTCGTATGTATTTACATCACTGGATGTTAGAATATTGAATAGACAGTTGGGTGTCCTTTCTGGGATATATTTTAAAGCAATATGAGCTGCATTTTTGAGAATTTTATTTTGCTGTTAAAAAGTGCTGTTATGATAAATTTGTATGTAATTTGATCCTTTATGATCAATTAGACTAAAAGAATTCAAAGTATTAATTTTTTAGAAGAAAGATTTCTGTACAATCACTACAATGGAATGTATAGTATTATATATTAGATATCAATATTGTACAGGACGACAATAATGTAATTTTGCACCAATCAAAGCTTACAGATAGTTCTTCTATCGCAAACATGAACAACAGAAGTTTATAAACGTTCTTTTTTCTGTCATTGAAATAGTTAATTACAATATTGCGACAAAAATTTTCGACATCAAAGTTGCAGCTCATATTTCTTTAAGTAATATCATTACATTCAATATAGTGAAGCTCTAGACTACAGAGATAAGAGGTCCTCCTACAAATATTTCAATGTTTATGAAAAGGGGGTTGTCATACATGCTTCCGTAACACATTCGAGATTGTTTTCCGTTTGTTGGAAAGGCCCGAGAAGTTGCGATTGGTTTTTGGTCCATCCTCACAACGTCAGGACGTCCAACGGCAACCCCTGGTGTTATGAGTGTTATGAGGATGTTTTTGATTTTTTTTTCTCTCATAAAAGTAGGTCTTGTTTTTTTTCCTACCAGTTTTTACATATATGAATTATACAATCAAAAATTAAGGTACCCCATTTTTTTTAAGAGAAGGGAAAATATTAACTGACTTTGTTCGCTCTCCAACTCTAAAGTCCGACAAACCCATGTGAATGTGAGAGAAAACCGACAGATTTAGACAATGGTTATACATGTTTCTAATAAGTTTTATTGTCCCTTTATCAAACAATCAACAACATAAGATCAAATAGATTACTTACCAGACGACGGGACAACATAAAACTGTACAGTCAGACAGACGGTCATAATGATAAGCATACACTTCGCCATGTCCACAAATAAGCAAAAATAAAATTTCTTTTGTAGTCTCTCGGGAAACACTGGAGCTTTTAAGAAGCATGTACAGTAATTGAGAATGTATACCCATAAACAAATAGACATAAGCCGTGGGACAAATTCTCCACTACTGCCAAAATATCTATATCATCCATTAAGAGATGTGTAGATAGCCAGAGTATGTACCGGTGTCCCCTGGCTGTCCGGTATATGTAGATGATAGACAAAATCAGCGTCCCTGTGCATAAAAGTCAAGGAGAAATGAAAATTTTGCTAAGTTTTAAACGATTACTTTACTTGAATTCCTTCATTAATTCAAAAGATTTGAACATGTTTATTGTGTAGAAATTGTGTACATTAGATGTAAAAAAAAAAAAAACACACCTGAACACTCTTTCCCAAAAGCTTATTCTAACATTATTCTAAAATTACAGTTTAAACGATGAAATGCATTATGTGAGGTGTCTCGACTGTCGCCCATTTACGAGAATTATTTCATCTTAATACATTTTATTGTAATTATATTATTAATCACGAAGAAGTTTAGCTCGTCACTTTTTTAAGATTTGAAACATAACTAAACAGAATTAAATATCAACATCAGTAAATAGCATTTTTTCGGTAAGTAGCCCTATTAAAACACAAAAAAGGTTCAAACAACATAATACAAATTGAACAGTTTTAAATAACTATCACTAAATGAAATAGGTGAAGATAACAAACAGTGACCGATCTAAAAAAAAAAAATACCTGAGAACAGGGCACAAAACATAAACCCCTAGAAATTCCAGGGGTGGAATCAGCTGCCTAGGAGGAGTTAGCACCCCTGTCAACCGGTCAAACCCACCGTGAGCCCTTTGAATTCATTAGGAAGACGGAGTAATCCGAAGTCAAATTTAGTATTAAAAAGGCCTAACAATTGGTATGGAACATGTCTGTCAAAATACGAACCAATCATGGATTGTATTTGCCAACAAGCTCATTATAACGACCAAAAAAATGTACGAAATACTGACTTTAAACGACGTTGTTGAAATCCCTGTAACGTCAACTTATTTGTCAGTAGTCTTTCTGGGTTTAAAAATTGATCGTATATACTCAGAGCATGCTCTTGAGTATCGAATAAGTAGGGAGACATACATGAAAACACCATATACGATGATAGTTGAATATTACTTATAAATAAGGAAAGTTGACTATGAAAAAACTGAAGTCACCTCGTCTATCATACAATTAAGTTGTTATTGGTCCTTATCATCGATAGTCAGTAAAACATTCAAATATGAAACAGATGTGGCAGACTCAGAGGTGTCTTTAATTTCGAGTTCATTGGGATATATCGAGTCGACATATAAATCAAAGTAACTATTGTTAATTGATAAAACATCGTCGATATGCCTGAATGTTATGTTGAAGGACAAAGCAATTGTTTCCTTCTTATGTAGATGTAAATATTCATAGGAATATAAAAGCAGGTCGGCTAGAAAAGAGAGCACAATTATTGTCCATCGGAATTCCAACAGTTTTTTGGAAGACTTGGTCTCCAATGACTACAGAGATGTTGTCAAAGAGGAACTCCAGCATCCTTTAAATATCAACTTCAAGGCACTTGTGTGTAGAATCAGAGTGATTTTTAACAAAGTAATTTTATAGATGACTAATCACAAGGTATGAAAATTTCCGAATTCCACTTTCATTGAAGAAGTAGTTGACTATATCAAAATGTCCCGTTTTTAATTTATCATGAGGAATGGTTATAATATTTAGAAAAGTTATATTAACTTTTGAAAAATTTTGTGAATTTAAATTTTCTAGAAGTTTTTTTTTTTTTTTTTTTTTTTTGAGAATCCACATTTGATTTACACCACTTCTTGAAAATGCTGTGACACAGTACGTCTGAAGTTTCTCCATTACAGCGTTAATATTTTCGACAGGAGTAAAGGAAGAGTCTTGATGGAATATTTTCTGGACCAGCAATGTAACTTTGTAAGGCTGGACCAGCAATGTAACTTTGTAAGGCTGGACCAGCAATGTAACTTTGTAGGGATTTTTACGAAGTTTAGAAATCCAATATAGATAGGGAAGGTCGAACTCACCTTCGTTTACTGGAATTTAAGGATCCTCTCTACACTAAACCAAATCATGTTTTTGGACATTGAGAAAATTATACTGTACAAAGGTGTTAATATTGAGCTTATTTATATCATTTTCAATATAGGGTGCCTGGCTTTTACCCCCAGAAAAAAATGTTCAAAGTCAACAAAGTTTTGATGGACAGAAATCACTGTTGTTTACCTAGGTTGGGAAAATACCTGCAAATGAACTATTCAATTAATTTATCTTGGCTTATCAAATTGTTAAGAATGCTTGAATTTATTAAAAATTTATTGATAAACTGTAGATTTCAATTTATTTTGTTTTAGATCTAAGGGCAGATTACTCAACTTCATAAAAATACCACAGAATCAGAACTCTTGTTGTGCAGTGTATAGAGGGTTCTTAAAAAATAAGCTGGGAGTGTAAGTATGATTTCCAGATGTAGAATTAAAACCATATTCTTCTAAAATACAGTTATAATAAAGAACCTTACAAAGACTATATTGTTACAATCCTTTTCTGTTGGAACAAATTGTTCATGCAGTCTTTCTAATTCTTTTATCACCTCCGATTTGATAAAAGCGGAAGGATTGATGGATCGCATTTTACCTTTCAACTTTTTAACACGATTCTTTAATATATTTCTAAAACACCTTCTTCATTCTGCCAGAGTATTCAGGTATTTCCCTTCAAGTCTTTCGCCCAATGTTTGCAATACTATTCGACAGAATTCATAATAGAAATGAAGTTCTGTCGCCATTGTTAGTTTAAATGATTGTTTTTAGCTCATCTTTTTCAACTGTATAAAATTACCAGTTATAAGGTGTCAAACGGGACCATAGTTGAAAAAGGAAGAGCAAGAGGATTTTGATATAGATGTTCAGTATCGAGGCAGAGTAAGGTTTGTTTAAAATTGAAATTATCTAAATTGTGGAGTTCAGAGAAACCATACATGATAAAGAGATAAGAAAAACCCATGCATTAATGAAATAGCATTTTGTTTAATAAATAATTTATTAATTACAACAAATATGGACTTTTTACTTAAGAAATTAAATTAATGACCATGTGACGTCACGTGATTTTACAAACCCCTGTAACAGTCGTACTTTTTTTATTAGGTACAATTTAAAAAAAAACGCTTATTATACAACCATTAGAGGTTACGTCAACTTGGAAACAATAAAGTTAATAAATTTTAAATAATTTTGTGTGTGTGTGTGTGGGGGGGGGGGGGGTTAATCTTCTTTCACAACATAAAATTTAGGAATTTAAAATTTCATCGTTAGTTTGGAATTTCATGGGCGTTGTCAGAGACATGTGCTGTATATTTCACATTAGAGCAAGTGGTAGCAATGGAAAAGTTTGTTTCATTACATTTTTCAACAGAGAAATACTGCAATTTATCCTTTAAAAGTGATATTTTTCAGAGTGAAAACTCTATATCACTTAGCTATGACATCAGTCTCACAGCCCCTTAAGTATGACTTCACAGCCTACAACATTGCATTAAAAAAAGGCAGGCAAAAGAGGAAAAAGTAATTCAATTTTTTTTTTATATTTCTCCTGTTTGCAAAATATTGAAAAATCTCGTCTCATTCGTGAAATGAATTCCCTTTCCAACTACAAAAACTTTCAATATCCTTGTTTATTACAAAAGAATTATTTATTTCACTTTCAATTTGAATGACCAGAATTTAAAATCAACTGAATAAAATTGTTGTCTTAAATGATTGATTGATTGTATGTTGTTTTACGTCCCATTCGAGAATTTTTCACTCATATAGAGACGTCACCATATACCAGTGAAGGGCTTCAAATTTAGACCTTTACTCGGCACTTAGGACCATTGAGCAGTGAGGGATCTTTATCGTGCCAACGCCTGCCGTGACACGGGGCCTCGGTTTTTAAGGTCTCATCCGAAGGACCCGCAACTTTCACTTCAAAGTGCCGAGCGCTTGGCGAAGGAACAGTTGCTACCTATTTTTTATCGACTTAGGTCAGTCTCGAACACACGACCTCCCGATCAGGGATGTGTCTTGAATGATGTTTTGCTTTCACAATTTCAAAATGAAATGTCATTTTCACAGTGTGAAAATAACATCCAGAACTACATGAGGTAAAAAATAAAAGAAAATCAAGAAAAATATATAAACAGAGAAAATTCAATGTTAATATTTTGTAATTGGACATGGAATTTATTTCACTCATTATTTCTAGATCTGGATATTTTTCACGAATGCTTCATATGTACTTGTAAGAAGAATTTCCTTTTTAAAAAAAATCCTGTCCCACTCGTGAAATACTTTCATTTCACTATACTCCGCTTGATCCCGAGTGCTAAAGTTTTAAATGTTGATCACCATATTAATCATAGATTGGATGTTTGACTTCAATGACTACCCAATAATACCCCTGCCACTATGTGACCAATCGTTAAACAAAAAATACACGTGGTCTGTCAAATCCCATTTTACTTCTTAAAATACTGTGATAGCAGTCTCCCAAATACTTTTTCCCATAAATACGAGAAAGGAACCTTCCTCACATTTAGATTTAGATTTTTTGCAATAAATTTGTTTAACACATCAAAGCGCTAGCGTTTTAAGAACATCAAGTAAAATGCATTTAAAAAACAAGTAAAATGTATAAAATAAAGCTTTTTAAACCTCACATGCAAACTTATATTACCTCCACCCGGCCAGTTCACAACTTAATATGAGACACTTAGTTTTGTAAGAAGCAAATCGGTGTTTTACTGACCACGTGTTGCTGTTTATTACAAATACCGTACGTATACCCGTAAAAAAAAATCAGCCGTTGCAATTGGTCAATATCACCAGTGGCATTGTTTAATATGCAAAGTAGTATTCATTTCATTGAAACCATACAAAACGTTGGATATCCTCTTTGTACTCAAAGTAGAAATGTGTTAACATTCTAATCATAATTTGGAAATTTTAGAAGAAAATACTCGTTATACTTTTAAAAAAACATCGCCTTAAAAGTGTCAACAAGCTTTCGTACATATCCTTTGTTAAGATTTTTTAAAAGTACATTTTTTATCAATATTTGAATAAACACACCTATACACATACTATCTTTTTTCTCACATTTCACAAACACCCATTTTTTCATTTCACATATTACACAAACATACATACAATGAGGTAGGTGCTATAAAGAACCAGTAATCGCACTTCGGTTAGAAATCAATATTATATTGTGAGGTGGTTTATCGTCTTGCTGCGTCAATACCGCCACTAACACCACAACCAACACCACCACACAAATCACCACCACAACGATCCCTGCCAAGATACGGTATTTCCACATCCTCATCTTCTCTTTCCGTTTGACCTTTTTACTCACAATCTGGAATTCCGCAGCCTATAAAGAGGTTAATAATCATGGTATATATATATATATATATATATATATATATATATATATATATATATATATATATATATATATATATATATATATATATATATAAAGTTAAATCGTAGAGAAAGGTGTCGTTAAATGAAGATTTTAGCTAGCTTTTGAATAATTTGTTAATAAGTTTAATAGTTTCACTTTCTTGAATTAATACATGATTACTTCCATTGCATACAAATTGTTTAATCACTGGCTAATCAAAGATAGGAATCTCTAGAATAACTTCAATGAAAAAGTGTAATTTATATCCGTACAGTCATGCAATAGGCACTGGTTAACAGAGGCATTGTAGCGGGTAATGTAAACTTATAAATGTAGCGGTAATGTAAACCATTTTGTAGCGGTAATGACTAGCGGTAATGTAATGCACTCGCTGGTGTGAACGGTCAACAGGGAACTCCTCCTAGGCACCGGATCCCACCTCTGGAATTTCCGTGTTTTATGTCCTTCACAGATTCGATTTTTTGAGATCGATCACTGTTCTTTGTCTTCATCATTTTCATTTACCTATTGTGTCGATGAAAATATTAGGTCTAGTTTGAAAACTTGTGTGACATACATTTACCTATTGTGTCGATGAAAATATTAGGTCTAGTTTGAAAACTTGTGTGACATACATTAACCTATTTTGAAATTCCAAATAAATCCCCCCCCCCCAAAAAAAAATAAAACGATGAAAAATCAGACATGACGTTGTAAAATGATTTGAAAGGTTCAGACCCTTACCCGGGGCATGTCCATTTTATACAGCTGTCAAAAGCATTGTTTCTTTTACATTATTTTGACCTGCTAGATGTCCAGAAGCAAAGAAAAAGACGTAAAAGAGATTTAAAAGAAGTAAGACATATATTAAATTACAATCAATTCAATAACCATATAGAATGAGGCCTTTGCCATTTGTCGAATGGAAATGGTTGATAAATTTCAGACTATGGATGAACGGACCATTGCCCGTCATGATAAAGTTATAGATGTTCTTCAGAAGGAAAAAAAGTCATTTAATATTTCTGATACATTTAATAAATAGGCAAATCCATCCATTGCCCGTCATGATAAAGTTATAGATGTTCTTCAGAAGGAAAAAAGTCATTTTATATTTCTGATACATTTAATATATAGGCAAATCCATACCGTTCATCTAAATTACATTTCCTTAACTCTTTAACATAATTTTACATGATTTGTTTGCTTAATGTTGTGAAAAAATATAATATAAATTGATTAAGTTCAGATTGAATGTCGCACAAAGACGGAAAGGTAATACATCACCAGATGTGATGAATATTGATGTTCTGTCTTACCGAACCACCGTCAGGGTAGCTCAGTCGGTTGATCGCTCACTCCGTGATCGGAAGGTCGTGTGTTCGAATCACGGCCGCGACTGACCTAAGTCGATATAAATAGGTAGCAACTGTTCCATCGCGAAGTGCTCGGCACTTTGGAGTGAAAGTTGCGGGTCCTTTGGATGAGACCTTAAAAACCGAGGCCCCGTGTCTCGGTAGGCGTTGGCACGATAAAGAACCCTCACTGCTCAATGGCCCAGTGTAAAGGTCTAAATTTGAAGTCCTTCACCGGTATATGGTGACGTCTTTATATGAGTGAACAAGATGTGTTTGTGAAACACTGATGCCCCCGTATGGCAACTTATAGCAAAGGTTAAACTTTCTCAAATGCAAATCAAATATGTTGACACTCAAAGTAAGGTCTTGTCTCGAGGAATAAACCTGTGAAATATGAAAGGCCTAGCAGCAACCATTGAATAGATATGGAAAAGGTTAAAGTTTTTTTCAAAAGTATGTCAAACATCAAGGTCAAATGGTCAAAATTAATGGTGCCAAAGGAAAGGCCTTCTCCCAAAAAATACACAGGTGAAATATGAGAGCCGAAGCACCAATCGTTCAAAAGTTATGGCCAAGTTTAAAGTTTTCCAAAAGTAGGTCAAACTCCAAGGTCAAGGTCAAAGGGTCAAAGCTGTTGGTATCCAAAAAAAAAGGTCTTGTCACAAGAATTACATATGTGAAGTATGAAAGCCCTAGCACCAACCGTTCAAAAGTTATGGCCAAGGTTAAAGTTGGTAAAATTTTGCAAAACTGGTTCTAACTCCAAGGTCAAGGTCAAAAGGTCATATATGGTGGTACCCAAGGAAAGGTCTTTTCATAATAAACACTCATGTCAAATATTAAAGCCTTATCCTTGACAGCGCAATAGTTATGGGCTAGATTAAAGTTGACAACAGACAGACAAACAAACAGACAGACAGGACAGAAACAATATACATGTACCCCCTGGATCTTTCGATCTAGGGGCATAAAAATTCTCGAACGGGACGTAAACAATATACAATCAATCAATCAATCTTACCGAACCAGTAAGTGTGTTAGCTATGTCAAGAAGATCGTGCAGACTGCCATGCCGATCCCGAAGTTTTATGATATTTTGCTGCATGACGTCTGTCACCTCCTCGAGCTGTTCACGTAAAATATCGTCCACGCTCTTAGTCTTCCTAATGCTATTCATTCTCACAATTTTTCTCATTTCTTTTCTTTCCTCGTCCTGATTGTGTAGATCCTCCAGGCTTCGACATCTTTTGTCTTCTGTGAGAATGCATGTCTTTATAAAGAATAAATAAAACTTTTAGTGGAAGTTTCCCGAGGAAGAAAAGCATTGAATTGACGGATGCATCACGTCCGGTGTTGTAGAGTGAGACTTACCCATGGTCAGATTTTCCCCCGGAAGTCGTGCTTTAGAGTGAGATTTCCCCCGGATATTTTGCTCTAGAGTGACATTCCCCCCTGGGGGATTGATGACTCTAGAGCAGGAGAACTCACGGTAAAGTATTACTCTAGAGCCCCACTTAGAATTGTGCGGGAAGACCTACTCTACCACTAGTCGCAGACACAGACCCCCAGTAGGTCTCCCCCTTTATTTTATCTTTTTTTTTACTGGTATTACAACGGGGAAACATGGCTCTAGAATGGGTCTTCCCCAAAGGGATACTATCACTTAAGACTAGAGCAAATCTTGCGGGGAAGTAAGGCTCTAAAGTCAGGCTTCCCCCTTGGGTAGACTTACTCTCTTTTGATACTTTCTGGGGGAAGTATGGAACTGGTGGTGAAGTTAGGTTCTAAAATATTAGACATTCCCCCTAGGGGTAATACTCACACCACAGCAAAACTTCCGTGGGAAGTCTCCCTATGGAGGGAAGTTTCGCTCTACAACATCGGCATAAAGAATGGGATTTGACAAGAACATTATTATAATTCAATTAAATCATGTATTTAACGATCAAAAAGGTACATATTGACCGAAAATGGATTGTAATCAATTTAGAATCATAAACATTTTTTAACCCTATGAAAGATAAGGGTCCCCATGGATACAACACTGAAAGTTTTCCGAAGATTTATTACCGTTGACTACAACTAGGAAACATTGAATCGTTATCAAAAGGTTAACTCCCTTAAAATAAAAATATCTGTTATAATGGTAACCAGCTGACAATTATTCATGTTTTTCATACTTGGAATAGATTCTAGATTTGATATTTAATTTTGTGGATATATCTATTGATAGTATTTGAAAAATTATAAAAGCTTTTAGTTTATTTATCCCCCCCCCCCCCCCCTCAAAGTATTAGTACAACATAATATTTTAAAATATCAGACGAGTGTGCAATTGTTTACCGATTTATATAATCGCTATTATTTATTAATTTGTTGTATACTCAATTACCTAATTGCCCCATAACTTGGAATCCCCACATATATCAGTGTATTAAACCTCCATTATGAAGTGACTTCGTAAACTTTCAAAATTGAGAGTTAATAAAAAACAAAATGGTCCTACCTCAGCTTCCTCGGGGTTCTCCGGGTCAATATCAATCTGATCCTGTCTCTTCTTTACCCCCTAAGATCATACAAAGAAATTTATCTCAGTCTATTCAGTATATATAACGTCAAATTACAAAGTAGATTTTTTTTTACTTGTTTTATTTTCCTTTGATTTGAACAATAGTAATTCTTGAACATTACGTTGATTGAGAGAATATTTTATTCTTATTTAGACGTAGTATCTGGTTTTTAATTATTTGCGAAAAGATAATTTCTCTGTCAATTACCAAATACAATTGAATTACTCTCTCGCTTGCTTTCTCTTTTTCCTTATACTTCCATCAATGCAGGGTCTTATTAGGTAATACCGGTATGATACATGTATATTGATAATGAATACTTGTACCACCCCATAATGATGGTCCCGGTAGTTTACTATACATGCAGTACCTTTCGCATCTGGCGCCCCCTTTTTATCTTCTGATCTTTCTTCTACAATTAAAAAAATGCATGAAATTTTATAAAACTCAAATTCCTCTGCGTTTCAACTTCTAGTCCACTCTAATGCTGGCATTACACAGAATAACAATTCTTTTATGCATACTAATTTTCTTTTCTTTTTTTATCAATTGAAAATGAATATTCTGTTTAAACTACTGCTATTTTCAAACTAATTTTATTTAAGTCGTTTTAATTATCAAATGAATACCTAATAGAGGTTGATTTGAACATACATTTGTATTTTATTGTACTTTATAATTATAAAGGGATTGGGCACAAGTTCTTAGAACTTTTTACGCCCTCTCCCTACATGTATACTACAAATTTAAATTTAGTCAAATTTAAACATGATTACAGATTTAGATTTAAAGATAAATTAAGTCACAGTTGAGCATATACATAAAGAAAGCATAAATAATATTTGCAAAATTTACAATCAATGCATTTTGTAGATACATGCATGTAATTTTGTATATACATATACTGATATATTTATTTTAAAATATTGACAAGGAAATCTACCAGAATGTTTAATGTTTGAACCAAAGTGAAAGAGCACATAATAGAGTTTTAAAATCTATTTTAAAATACATTCCAGTAAGGGATACACTAATCAAAGGTATATTGTATTAAATAAAAGTGTCAACAAAACACACAAGGTCCTAGGATTATGTAAAAAGCAAAACAGTCTATTATATTTTGTGAAGTGCTCCATGCACATACTTATTCCTATCTATTGCCATTAAAGTGGTCTACTTGGGGCTGACCATGACAAATCAATTTGATCATTTTGACATTTCAAAAAGAATATGACAGACATGCTACTGTTAGATCAAAATATACACATAATAGTATAGGTGCATAAAGTTTTATTTCTTTTTTATTTTTGAAAATGACAATGCGTTACTTTGGTTTAGTAAAGTAATGGTAATATACACGAGCAGGAAAACAGGTAACGATTTTATTGTAGTCAGTCAGAAATATAATACTTGCATTTTAAAGTGCAAAATCTGTCTATCAAATGCATGGCCTAGTTTTCTAAAGAATGTTGTTATGTCACTGCAATCGCCAATGTATTATGCGACAAAAATAAAAATAACGGTAAAATCTCCCTTATAGAATCAGGAAGAATAACAACAAAATACCCAGATATAAATCGGAATTCACGAATACATGCATGGTCTTCATAGCTAAAATCAGTCCAACTAAAATGTTCATGAGAACCGTTGAATTCTTTTATGTCCTTATTATAAACATATATCGTACCCCTACTTAAAATCGTAATACTGAATGAAGTTTCAATGTTATTTTATAAAACGGCAGAAGGACCTTACCTTCATGTTTACAGGTTAAAAAAAATCCAACAGGGTAGTGATTTACCTGGGAAATTTACAAAATTATAAGGAGTGTCAAGTCATGCACAAAATCTCGTCGAGTTGTAATGAAATAAATGCGGTCATAAAAGTGGTTATTTTAAAGATTGCCTTCAGCAAGTACATGTATTTACCGAGTGAAAAGGTGTATCAGAATCATTCAGTCAAAGAAGCGGAAATATTGAAGTTATTGAAAAAATTAAATAATTCAAATTAGTAACTAGGATGTCAGATACAGTATTAATGGTCGGATAACAATGTATTCAATAATAAAAGTTTTGTAACATTCACACACACTCCCTAAATTACTTCAGGGGAAAATCTGAATCATCGTCATGTTAGACGCAGTAACTTAACTTTAAGACATTAATTGTTTTCATTGATAATGTGTCTCATTCAGGAGTAGATATATAGATGGAAATAGTCTCAGACTTAATGTAACAGTCTAACACTTGAAACTAGATGCTGTCACAGTTTAGACAGTAATAAGTGCACGTAGGTGTTGGTCTCTAAATGCACTCACCTTCATATTTGGGTAATAAGGGAAGAAGCCACAATAATTTTATAATTTACAAACCAGTCCGTTTTCAGTCCCTAATCGCCCCCAGCGTGAAATTTGAAATTCCCAAACCTAAATACACATCAACAGGACACGCTCAGACTTATTCCAAAATGCGATTGGACTACTGTGAAAAATTTAAGACGAGTTCAAAGTTTTGTTTAAAAAAAGGGGGGAAGAAAAGAGGAAAAAAGAAAAAAAAAACATCAATTTTTACTCAGTTTGGCCTCCAGGTTGAAGTCAGAAATCTGAAACCTTATTGCACATCTACAGGACATCACCAATCACCATCCGAAAAATGATTTGGCTACAGCAAAAAATGTAAAAGCAGTTAAAGAAACCAGGTTTTGTAGAAAAAAACATCTTTTTCCTAACCCCAAAGGTGAAAATCGAAATTCTAAACCTAATATTTGCACATCTACAGGATGTTGTAGAAAATTGACAATTTTCATTGACACCCAATTGCCCCCGTGTGAAAATTGAAATCCTAAATCCTTATGCATACATATCTCTACAGGACACTCCCAATCATGTTGAAAAATATGACTTTTCTACTGCGAAAAATGTAAAAGGAGTTCAAGGAGGCAGGTTTTTGTTCTAAAAAAAGACGTTTTTTAAATTCCCACTTTGGCCCCCTAGGGTTAAAATGAAAATTCCAAAATTTTATTGCACATCTATAGGACCCTCCCAAAGATATTCCAAAAGATGTGTTGGCTACTGCAAAAAATGTCAGAGGAGTTCAGGGAACCATGTTTTTGTAGAAAAAACGTCACTTTTGAGCAAATTACGCACAGGGTGAGAATCGAAATTCTGAAACCTTATTGCACATCTACAGGATACTCTCAATAATAATCCAAAATATGAATGATCTGCTGAGAAAAATGTAAGAGGAGTTCAGGGACCCCCAGGGTAACAATGAAATTACAAAATATTTCTGCATATGTTCAAGGCACCGCCAATTATATTTCAAAAGATGAGCTGGCTACTGCTAAAATGTCAGAGTAATTTGAAAAAGAAGATAGTGTGCCAGACGGATGGACAGACAGAGCAGGATAACATCAATATACCCAAACTTCCTTCAGAAAATGCGGGTATAGTCATCAGTTCATACCGTTGTCGGTACGTTATAAACATAGCGGGCACCTGCATTGAATAAGTCTTATTTGCATGTCTACAACTGAGGACACAAAAAAGTAACATGGAGAATTAACCATTTCTTTGACATGTTATGTTATCCATGCAGTTATTTGAGAGGCGTCATAAAGAACCAATTTTCTTTGTTTCAAGTAAAATAGAGAAAAAGTTAACAAATCAAAGACTTGCCTCAAATCGTTACGCGGCAACTCTAGCAAAAGTACAAGAGCTACTTGTTAGACATACATATAATATCGTTTTTCATCTAAAATTGCCTATAACTTTTTACCTCTCTATGCCCTTCTTATAATGGTCCGTATCACTGGGAGCACTAAGAATGCTAAATGGAAGAATACAGGTAGGCACTGTTACCGATGTTCAACAAAAATTTTACTGTCTGTTACGTAACCGGGGTGCTAGTCATTTATTACAATTGCTTTGCAGATTTATATTTACTTGTATATCGTTGTGTAAATAAAAGGACTTTGTTATTATAGATACATAAATGTATGTAAAGACTTAGATACGTGATTTCATCTCGACCAGGACAGATTCAAACGTTTGAAACTGGTGTTTTTTTTCCATGTGAGAGCGATGTAAACCAATATTGGTAGTACATAATTTGATTATATATCATACAGATATACATCCCAAAGTAGCATTACAAACGTTATTTTGTTTTTGTATACATGTACGTGTATATCCTTTTTTAAATTCTTGAAAACGCGAGTTTTGATGTCATTGTTGAAAAGGAAACAATCAAAATTTAAATTTCTAGAAAGTATACAAGATCACTTTTGTACTGGACTTAACGAACCAGGTAGTATGGTAGGCCTGACTTGACAGAGGCAGAACTGAATACTTTGATATACCTTCCCATGCTTTTATTGAAAATAAAGAAAGAAGTTCTTGGAAGAAGTTATCTAAACAAGGACACAAAAAATATTAGGAACCCGGAAGATGGATGAAATGACATCCTTAATTTGTGCGAGTTCACCCTACTTGATCTTACCACAATATATCAACGTTATCAAGGAAGTATTGTAACACTTTTGTTTAATTCTGTAAGAAGGATATTGATAAACTGATATTCTTTAAAAATAAATTTCTTACCAAAATTTAAGACTAGAGTAACATTTTGAAAGGTATATCCCCTTCTCAAGGTAAAAACGACTTCGTCACTCAAAATTTTGTTAGTTAGGTCCGATTTTAAAATATTTCAGGGATTGATTTGTGACATGTCAAACGTTGCGATGTTCGATCTTTTCCATTTGCATTGTATAATTTTTCATTCGTAGTCTATAATTTTCCATTTGTATTGTATAATTTCTCATCTGTATTGTATAATTTTCCTTTTGTATTGTTTTCTTTTCCATTTGTATTGTAAAATTATACAACACAAACGGCTCTTCGACTCAGGTAACTTTGGTAGTAAATAATTTCAAGATTATGCTTTTATTCCAAACGTTGTATTTTCCAACTATTAATCCTTAATGGGTTATTTGGTAATACCTGAGAATATTAAGTAAAACTTGTAGACACGATTTTATGAGAATTATTCTCATAACCTATATAATATACTTTTGCAATGTTTCTAAGAATTGAACGCGACAGTTTATCTTTCTTGGATCAAATGGGAATTAGTTGTTCTGTTGTATTATCCTCGGAGGAATCAATATATATATATATATATATATATATATATATATATATATATATATATATATATATATATATATATATATATATATATATATAGGTGTGTGAGGGTGGGTGTGTGTATGCATCGTAATATATTTTTTTTAAATTAAATTCCGACATATCTCAACGTTTATATGTATACAAAACTAAAAATGTTTTTGGACCGTTTGGAAAATTATGTCATATGAAGGTAAAAATACTTCAGCTGATCCATTTCATTTTCAAGGACCTGTTATATTTTAATTCCCTCTGTTAACTTTTTTAATAGAAAATATTGCAAATACGGTATTTAATTACTCTATCTTGGTCTGATATAAGGTTAAAAATTCTTGAATTGATTACAAACTGTGTATCAAGCAAAACATTATTTTACTGTCCAAATCCTGGAATTTGCCAGTCCTAAATCTTAAAGCAACAAAACTGAGGGGGGGGGGGGGGGGCACCAGCAACTAAAGGAAAATTTACTATAATAAAATACTCAGAAAAAGTCCCCCCCCCCCCGCCCCCGTTTTACGGGCCTGTAGAATCTACATACCTCAGGAAGCTTCCACATAACTTTCGTCTCTTCGGGCCCAGTGATTTTGGAGATTTTTAAAGAATTTTTCCTATGTATTTCAATATAAAATTTTGATTCAATATTGTAGCCCCACCCTATCCCAGGGGCTATTATGTGAACAATTTAGAATCTACACTACTTCAGGAAGCTTCCAAGTTTCATCTCTTCTGGTCCAGTGGTTGTTGAGAAGATTTTAAAAATAATTTTTCCTTTGTATTTCAATGTAAAACTGTTGATCCCCTGTTATGGCCATCCTACCCCCGGGGCCAATGTTTTGAACAATTTAGAATCTACACTACCTTAGGAAGCTTCCACATAAGTTTCATCTCTTCGTGTCCAGTGGTTCTCGAGAAGAAGATTTTTTAATGACCCTACCCTATCTTTGCATTTTCTACATAATCTCTCCTTGGAATAGGACTTGGCCCCTTATTTGAACAATTTACAATCCCTCTTACCCAAGAAAACTCTGTGCCAATTTCGGTTAAATTTGGCCTAATGGTTCTTTAAAAGAAGTCGAGAATGTTTACAGACGGACGGTCGGACAGACCGCTAGACGGACAGATGGACGGACGACGGACAACGGGTGATCAGAAAAACATACTTGAGCTTTCAGCTTAAGTGAGCTAAAAATTTATTACGCCCTCTCCCTACACCTAGACTTTGGTATGAATTTGCTAAATAACAGTTTGTGATACATGTATTAAAAGGATTTTTTGTTTCACGTGAGATCACAAGAAGAGGCTCGATGTTTTAACTGTATTTATGCACCATGGAATAATTCTTTGAAAAAAAAAAAATTCTACATGCAGATCAAAAAGTTTGAAGACACATTATTTAGAAGATTTACAACGTACACTAATCACACTGCTTGCATTAATAATAATCCCCAGTATCAGTTCTCACCTAGAAATGTGAATTCCTTTTACACAACAGTATACAAATTCAGTAATGAATTCAGACTTAAATGAGTGTATCACGAACTCCAATCAAAATCATTTGAATAAATGTGCCTGTCCCGGCTAGCGGATTTGAATGATAACAAGAGGCCCATGGGC